ACCAATCCATAAGGGGCTTCCACAAAGTGATAAAAAATATATATATTTATTGACGCATTCACATACAATACACAGAATGAAATTTACAAAGTATATGTATGTTACAACCAATTATGTTATTAACTTTTGCGTTCAAATCAGTTATAATAATTATATGAATACTTCATCTTAATAAACGTCATAGATTTAAGATATAATAGAGTCCGTCTATTTTATGATACTTTCTGCGTACTGATTAGAATATTACTGATAGTTCACATTTTATGTAATTATTAGCAAGAATAAAGTATCTTATACTACATTCATACTCTCTGAAAATCCCTCTCTTTACAGAACAAAACTAAAAACAAAAGATAGAATATATGTGATCATCTCTCAAGTAATGTATAGTATTTACTTAATTGTAACTACTACAAAATATTTTGTTCAAAAAGAAATCTTTTTTATGTCAATTTCTCACTTGCAGCACTAGGTGCGCTGTAAAACAATTAATTTTTATGCGAGTGTTATTATCTATAGTTGTTTATGATACAAAGCAATTTAAGCAATCGATTTCTTGAATTGTGCCTATCAACTTCCAAAGGAATGACATTGTTAACTAAAGCAAATTGTACCAATAAATTTTTTGTTAACAATATCAAAGTTCGCCTATGTTTTAGACACATAAAAAATATTTTAGCAATGTAATTTTAAATTAAACACATACTTCAACTATATTTTTAAAAATATTACAGTTAAACATATAATTGCAATTTTCGGTTTAGCAAATTTTATGTATTTAACTGTAGCTGGTTAGAATATTTATTTTCATTTTTATTTTTATTACTAATTACTTGAAAAAATTACATTTATTTAAGAATTTTTTGAAAATGACTGTAACTTAATGAATTATACAATTCGATCAATGAATTTTCAACCTGTATTTTTAAATAGGAAGTATTACATAAGTATTTACCTACACAAGATAAAGTGATCGTATTTCTTACTTTCGCATAGCTTAGTAGTAATGAAAGATTAAAGGACTCGTACATTTCCTCGATAACATAAACAAGATATTGGAAGATAAATAAAAACTAAAAGCAAAACAATTAAACCGGACTTTTTTAGATTAACCTTATAAATGAATCTCGGTATCAGATACGAGAACAAATCGCTCTATCGTTATTTAAATAAGCATGCATGAATAAAATTTCATAATTGTATAACCATTTGGCATTTAAATATCGGCATGTAAATTCAAACATTGTAAAACTGAGATTAAATAGGTGTATGAAATGTATAGGAAAGGTACCTAACTTACTCCCCTCACGCTAGTAACTCGCAAAACAGTGTTCCCCCACTATCTCTACACAAGCAACAGCTCGAGACTGTGTATGTGAGCAGTTCTATGAATGTTCAATGCTCAGGTAAAAGTAGGTATGGAGAGGGCAAGTTTTCGCGAGGAGAATGTCACTGGAGCGTCTGTGGGCACCGATTTAGATCCTCTTGGTGTATAATGTTCTCCTCAATTTAACTTGAACCAGTGTATTTTTGCTTATAAACATTTTTCCAAAACTAAGTTAGTTAGACATAATTCTGTTAAAAATAATTATTACATTCTATTAACAAATAAAATTATACAAAATAAGGTGTGGGCTCAACACTTTTACTATACTCGCACATTCATATAATCACGTAAGGCTAATATCTCTACAAGCTTTATATCTACGTAATATGTACGTATGTTATTTTTATAGAAATTAGTATAATTATTAAAGTATTAAATAAGTAAATAATTAGGAAATATGATACATTTGTACTTAAACAATTCTCATAACCAAAAGACTGATTTGTTTTTTATTTGTTATCAAAAAGTGATAAAAAATACGTGTTATAAATACTAATGGGTACTAACATTGTGTATTTTTTATAAAAAAAAACAGTAGAATAAACATGAACGTTAATATGAATGAAAATTTTACACTAAATTATCATTAACGTAAGATTTCTGTACTGTTACGCAAAATGCACCTTGTACTGTTGATATGAAACGTAAACAGTAAAGTAACACATTAGCATTAGTATCAGTTAATCTCTTTTCGCTTTCGTCACAAAAAAGCAGTCGATCTTCGGAAGCAATTAAACCGGAACTATTAACTTGTCAATCGCAGCAATCCTTTGAAGTTAAAATCCCCATTGAATATTGTTATTTGATATAAATTTGTTATTCATTATCCGTTAATGGTACCATTGACAAAATTCAATTTTTCTTTAATATGGTCAAATCTGATAATAACTCTGACTTTTTCCATTCATGAAAATACTAAACATTTATTCAATCTTTGCCAGAAGATGTTTGACCTAGTCTTGTAAAATGACTTTGCAAATTCATCGCCTAGAAACGCAAGAATAGAGTCGAGAGTACATTGTCGTGCGTCCTATATTTACGTAAGACCAATTTTCTGTTAAATTGAGAAATACAAATGACAACCGCTCACTTCTGAATACTTACCACCGTTTCGCAATTGAAAATTTCCTATCTGACGTAGTTTTATTATATTTTTTTATTCCGCACATAAACATTTTCAGAATTCAGTTATTACCGTACTGGGTGTATTAAAATAAAAATATAATGAAACATGTTAACTATAATAAAATTATTTATTACGCGTAAGAATTTATTGGAAGATGCATTTTATAGTACCTGAGAATCGTTGCAAAACATGTTGCCTCTCTTCTTTCGTCATTATAGTACCTATATAACTACTTCGCTCAACCTTTACTTCTGTGACAAATGAATTTACATTTACGTCGTGGATCAGAGATTACGTAATTTTTTTCTGTTAGATTATGAGGACTATAAGATGACCAGATCAAATAATTCGTAACACACAGTGTTCTGGAAAAGTACTGCTGCAGTACTTACAATATTTTTGTGTAAAATCGTGTAAATCAGACACAAGACGATATCATATTTCATCGAACTGTTTTTTGGAAATTTAACTTGAAATTTACAGCTTTAGGTTCATAAATTAATCACAAAATTATTCATAATCATAAGTTTACATTATCTACGTTAAAAAAAAATTCTACTATTCAAATTCATTGTCTGCACACTTCTCGAGAGAAAACGAAACGAGAATATAGAAAATAACATGCAAGAAACAACAAATTTTTGAAAAATATTGTGCTATATTTTTCAAAACGATTTATTCGGTCATAAGTGTTCTTTGTTGGAAGCAGGAAATTGTGATGAACGCAGTAAAACTTACTGATCGACAAAACAAAATAATTAACATAATAATAAAAGAACAATTCTGAAACCGCTTCTTTTCAAATACATCATTTCATAGTTCGTAGAATACTTAAACATGTATGGTATTTGTAAGGAGTTGCGAAATAAAAGACGCTTATTAGCAAAGTCAATCATAAAAGAACTTTAGACTTTACAAAAATGATAAATGGAAATACTGGGTAATCTGAGACGAAATATGAATGCACTTTGCAAAGTAAAAGGTGAATTTTAGTTTACAGAAGCATAAGAATGTATTAGACGTTGTAACTATTAAATATGGAGATAATGGAGCAATGACACGTGGATGTATGTAATGTATGGAATTCAATAAAAAAATGAAATTGTTTATGAGAAATTTTTAACCAATATTTATGTGTAGCCCTTTAGTACAACCTACAGAAAAAGTTAATTTAATCTTCTAACAACAATATACAAACTCCATATCAGTTGTTACTTGTTTTTATTAAAAATACAATAGAGAAATTCGATTATACAAGTATTTTAAAATGTATAGAAAACGATTCTTGTGTACCGCTTAAATTATTTATCAATGAACTATTTTTAATAAGTTGCATAGGTTATCAATGCTTTCATAATCCGAGTTTGAGGTCAATGAACATTTGTAATATAAACTAGATGAAAAGCTTAACAACCAACTATAAGAAGGTACAAAAAAAATAGAATCGAGAAACTACATTTAAGAACATGGTAAAAAAGTTCATAAATTAAAAATAAATCAGTGTATTAAATATTCAATTATTTGAAAGTGGTAACAAAGACAAAAATTATATACACAATACACAGTAAAATGATTTAATATTTTATGTAGTATGATAACACTTTCGCTTAGGTAAAAAGGATATGTAACGATTGAAGTATTTTTATAAAAACTGAAATAAACTGGTGAATTTTATAATGAATCCATACGTGGTGGTATCATAGAACATTGTCTACGGCTTTTTGTTTGACACTGTAGATATATCGAGGAATCTGAATAGGACAAAGGTCACCTGTTAGATACGAGCGTTTTTATGAAACGGATGATTATGAAAATTACTATGTACATGTTCTTTTTACGACGTAGGAATAAAATTCTTAATTCAACTGATAAATATTTCAATTATTTTTAAGAATTAGTTATAATAATTTTACGAAACCATTTCGTAATTTTTATTGTAGTAAAGGTAATTGTTATAACCGGTAATGAAAAGAAATTTTACCATCTGTATAATAAATTTCGTCGAAGAAGTTAATAAACATAATATAATTTACATGTTTTGCCCGGAGAAATTCATAGTTCTTATGAATGGCGAACAGATCGACAGACAGCGGATGGCTTTACGATTTGTGATATAACCTCATTAGTTATCAAAATTAAATATATTTCAGAGAGAAAATTAATATACTATTCATTTTGTATAATATATTCCCCAAATTATTATTTTGAAGTTAAAAATTTATATCATTTTTAGAAATAAATAATATAGTAAAATAAAAAGTTACAATTTCACATATATTCGGTTCGATATAATAGGTTAAATTACACTACGATGTGTATATTGATAAGAAAGTACAGTAAAATGTTGCGTAAGAAAAAAAAATTCTACAAATATAAATTTTTAAACCGACATGAAGCTTGAATTTACCGCAGGATAAGGCAGGAACATAACTTACAATTGTATATGTCAATATGGCGCGTAAATGTTAGTCACGTGATAGGAAGTTGCTGTAATGTTTAGTGTATTGTAATATTATTTTTTGTATGTAATGCGTATATATGTTAGCACTAGATTTGGCTTAATCACTGACTTGATTTATGTCTTGAAGCAGTACATCAAAAAATTTTTTTTTATTCGTACATTCAGTAATTCCATCTAGCCTTACACCAGGTTCTCTGGACTGTACGAACGTCTTGCCATCTCAGTTTTCAACGAACCAGCAACCTGCTGCAATCGCTGTTGTCGGTTATTCCATATTTGAACGTAGTATAGTAATATATAATTAGTATTAACAAAAACTCTTTTTTCTACCATAAGTTTCAAAGTGAAATTTTGTAGAAAAGTTTTAATTGAGGAATTACGACGATGTCAGATATAACAAAATTCTACAACGGTAAAACTATTTTTCTCACCGGCGGGACAGGTTTCCTTGGAATATGTTTGATCGACAAAATATTACGCACATTACCTGACATAAAGAAAATTTATTTATTGCTGCGAGTGAAAAAGGGAAAGCAAATAGAGGACAGATTGGAAGAAATCAAAAAAAATTCGGTACGCATGTATAACACGCATTCATTTTTTTCATAACTAAATCAGAAATATCTGATAAAATTCGTTTTAGTTTGTACATTTAATATTTGTTTAATAAAAGTTACTCATTTTCATCTATTATTATTCATATTTTACATTCTTTTTATGGTAAAAGGGATTTTTGTTTCTCGTGTATGTTCTAAAATAAACGATTCTCGATCATATTTTTTGTTTCATTAAGCATAAATGTGACAATTATTTTAACGTTCCTTTCGCTTTTATTTATTAAGCAATAATTAGAACAATTAGTAGTTTTTGCCACGTAAAGAATCTAACGCCGGTCATTGACACCTCCAGAGAAACTATGAATTCCAATTGTTTATAATTTTATTTTTATTTCAGGAAAAATTTGATCTATAACTTCAATTATACAAATTTACTTTATCCAAAATTCTGTTAAGTGTTTATTAGTATTTTTTAATTTATTGATCATATAAATTGACTAAAACAAATTTTTTTGAAGAAGTATTTTACAATATTGATATATTATGAAATTAAACTGGTTTTTATTGGACAATTTTAGGTATTCAATAGATTAAAAGAAGAAGATAAAGCTCATCTTTTTGACAAATTAGTTCCTGTTGCTGGTGATATAGGAGAAGAGAATTTAGGATTATCATCTGCAGATAGATTGACTATAGTTGAAGAAGTTCAAATTGTTTTCCATTCTGCAGCAACATTAGATTTTCAAGCAGATTTGAAATCTACTACTAATAGCAACTTGTTGGGTACACGCAGAGTTGTGGAACTATGTCAGGAAATAAGGGATTTAAAAGTAAACCACTTTATGTTTATTATAGAATTCACAAGTTTTTCAAGTTCATTTAATGAGTTTTGTTATATTAAGTAACATTATTTGCCTTATTGAATAATTTATTTTTATCTATCATTTAGGCAATGGTACATGTTTCTAGCGCTTATGTCAACTCATATTTACTTGAAGCAGAAGAACGTATATATCCTGCCCCGTGTGATGTAAATGAATTGTTAAAATTAGTTGAATCATTAGATGATGCAACTTTAATAGCTCAAACACCAGATATAATAAAGGAACATCCAAACTCTTATACATTTACAAAACATTTAGCTGAGCATGAAGTTAAAAATGGACGCATTCCAGCTACTATTGTACGTCCATCCATGAGTATGTATATTACATACAGGAATATTTCTGCATAAGTAACTGGTTTCGTTTAGAGTTAATGAAGTTTGTCATGCATACATTACCTTATTACCATATCATGTATGTGTATATAGTTACGGGAGCATGGAAAGAACCAGTCCCCGGATGGACAATATCAAAGAATGGTCCACAAGGATTCTTAATGGGTGCTAGCAAAGGTGTAATAAGAAGATTACCACTCGCGAAACATTTAGTTTATGATTATATCCCAGTAGATATTGTTGTAAACAATCTTATTGCTGCAGCTTATGCAGTTCACAGAGATGGGTAATTAAACATTTTATCAAAAAAATAATAACACAGTTAAAAAAAGAGTTTTGCAATAATAATATACTATTAATATATACTTCTGTTATAGTGGAAGAGAATTAAAAGTACATCATTGTACAAGCAGTACAACTAATCCGTTTAAATGGGTGGACATAGAGGACCAAATGAATGTTTACTTACGTAAATTCCCATTAAAAAGTGCAGTATGGTATCCTCATATAAAACTGGTGTCATCAATATTTTTATTCAAGCTTTCAGCATTTTTTGTACATTTTATTCCTGCATATATCTTGGATACTGTTGCTAGATTAGCAGGAGGAAAACCAATGTATGTTTTCAATTTTAAATTAAATAATTATACGTTACTTAATATTAACTATTATTTAGTTGTATGCTTAGCATACAAAATAAAATTAACAGAAGAATTAATTTACAGATTAGTAAGAATGCATACCAATGTGAATAACTCCCTAGCTCGTTTGGAAAAGTTTATCTTTACTGAATGGAAGTTTCACAATCCTTGTCAGATGGAGTTATATGAGTCTTTATCAGAGGATGATAAACAGTTATTTAATTTAGATATTAAGTCGTTGCTATGGGTAGACTATTTTAGAGATTTAACACTAGGGGTCAGAACATACTTGCACAATGAGTCTCCAAAAACATTAGCGAAAGCACGTTCCAAAGATAAAAAGTGAGTATACTTACGACTAAACGAACTAATCTATATTTTATTAAAAACAAATCGTACAAGCATGTCTTCATTATTTATATATCTTTTAACATTTTCAGATTAATGATTGCACATTTGGGTTTACAAGCTGCAATATTGGCATTTATTTGGTGGTTGGTGAAAACTATTTTTGCTACTACTTGGACCAAGACGGGATTAGTTGTCCCAATTATTTACTTCCTCTTTGATCAGTTGTAAAAATTACAGTTTGGACTGCTTCTAATTTAAATGTATGAATAGTAGTCGAACAAATTTCTGTTTCTGAACATACATCAAACACGCGGGATACATTCTTATTAAAGCAGAATGAAATTAATTCACTGAAGGCATAATGGTATTTACATATTGTCACACATTGTCATGCATTCGTTACATACTCCTGACGGTGTTGGGAAACAAAACAAATTAAGTATTATGCTTGAATACTGTTTTATATATTTTAATATGTTATTGTTTATAATAAAGAAATAATATAAATACAGTATGTGTATAGTTGAAAATTGAGATTGAATGTTATCATTATTTTTATATCAGATTAGAAAAGTATGTATAGTTTGTATGTATGTATATTTTTGGTATATTTTTAACTACAAAAAGGTTTATTGTAAAAATATTACTTATTTAAGTATATTGCATTTTATTTCTTATGCCTACTGTTTTATTTAACATGTTCAGTGCGACATGTACCACATATATATATTAAATATATATATATATTAAAAACTTTTAGAAAATATTTTAATTTTGCAAAAAAGAAATGAATGATTTTCTTTCTGATAAAGTAGTAACGATATATTAGAATCAGTTTTTAAGTTTATATTTCCTCATCATTAAAGATAACCAAAAGTGGTTCAGGGTCGGAAAAAAGTAAGTATTGTATATTGTCCAAGAATTCTCAACTTTTGAGAAACACTGCTGTCTAAAAATCTTTGACCAACCGCGATTAAGTACAATTAAGAAACTTTTGAGATCACAGGTAGAAAAGAAGGCTTTTACTGTCCAAGAAGTCCATTTCAGTAGGAACAATAAAATATTCTCAATCCGAAAAATCCCAGGAAACTGAATATTTGATCTATAGTAAGACTACATGGCGCATCCCATTGTTCACTACTTGTTGATGTTCGCCGTTTCTCGTCATTTTTTCTTGTTTGCTACTGTTCCTCACTGTTCTTTACTGCTTCATTACGCCAGATACTGAGCGGAACTACACGATAATTGATAAATTCAGAGCATCAAGAATTTGTTAATTGATAAATTTGTTATTTATGATTATTTAATGGTTGTAATAATCGCATTCTACACGAATTTGTTGCACACTTTCTTTGCTAATTTTTTAAAGCACCATGCTTTAAATATAACTAATAGAAAACAAGATATTAATGAAAATCGAAATACGGGTGGCTATTTAATATACATTGAAATAACCTGAAACAGTACAGATTAATAATAAATAATAAAGGAAAAACGAAGAACAAACATTAATAAATATATCAGTGCACAGGAGCAGGAATATAAGTAGAATTTCACGATTTGAATCTAAACTGAATTTTTGCCTTATTTTACTATCTTACGCTAATCTCTAACATGAATATGCTGTCATTATTAGATTAGAATTTGAGCGCGTTTACTTTGAATTTCATTTATTATGTAGCTATTTTGAAAACGTAAACTTTATACCCCGAAGGAAGCTACTGCATGCGAGACTTAATTGTAGACAATAAAAGAAGAGACAAGGAAGGGATGCGCATAGTAAGAAACATTATGATTCTTACTAGAAATTGATCTCTGCTTCTGCACGAAATATGTCCATCGATATTGTTTCCTAGACGACGGAACCATGCTAAGTGGCAACAAATACACTCGATACTGTATACAACAATCTACACACCTAGTTTTGCCTTGTACCGCGCAACACATAATTCTCGATTATTTCTACTCGTTTAACTTGTCGGTGGTGACAGTGCTCATCGAAAAAATGTCCGTTGTTGAGCAGTCGACTGCCAGTCAAGAGATCATTGTGCCGGCGAATTTGCCACTTATTTTAAAGCAGTTCTGTAAGGCGGCCATTCGAACACAGCCGTATGATTTGTTAAAGTGGTCGAGTTCGTATTTTCGAGCTTTAGCGGATGGTGAGGAACCTCCAACAAAATTGAGGCTGGAGTACCCGCCGCCGAGCACTGCTTCCGGTTTGACACTCGGTTTTCTTCGAATTTTACTCCGACAGTTCGGAGGTACGATACACACAGAAAATTACATAAAGATACATGATGACGTGATTCATATAAAATATAAAGATTGAATTGGTGTAAATATTTAGCATCTTGAATAAACTGCTTGACGAGAGAAACCGTTACGTCCCTTCATACAGTCTGAAAGATAATTCTAATATAATTTTCTCCATTATATTTTACGTTAATAAAAGACACTAGTTGTAATTACCATAAACGGAGAATATTCGTTGGACAGATTACAATAAATCGTTGCCTGTTGAAACGATTCTACGACGATGGGATTGTCTTTGTCTGGACAGACGGGATTTGAACATGATCATGATGATTGGGAAGTTTCGACGAAGGTGTCAGGTGAAAAAGTTTCTGGCTATAGCCGTAGGTCTGTTGGGGAACAGTTTGTTCGAGACGATGATCATGATTTGTGAATTATTCACACATGAGCCTGAAGGTGGATCAGCCATGGTTCCTGTTACGTTGTTCATGGAAATTTACGGGTAGGTTCGGAGAAGTGTTTAATAGAATAATTTTTAATCAGTTAATAACACAGTACAATGTAAAGGATGCCCAAAGGTAGTGGATGATCAGTGTGATGACCCGAAAAATAACAGTAATAAACAGAAAGAATTAAATAATTATTAAATCATTAAATTTTTTCTGATTATGTTGTATTTTACAATAGATACTGGTACAGACTTAAAATCCTTACAGACGTGTTAAAAATGTTCTTGTTCTTTATCAATTGCCCAGATATTTAGCAGGGCTTCGATGCGATGGCAGTGAAAGAGGTTCCTCAGACAATGATTCGACAGAATTTATCATATTTAGTGAATCGAATGGTTCTGGATCATTAGCGGGCCAAGATCCCAGCGAAGATAAACTTTTCGTGGATCAAATTTGCTCTATCGCAAGCCAAGACACCGAAGCAGACGTCAATCTGGATTTGGAGTTGGTATCGAAGGAAGACGTCGATTCTTCTAGAAGTAACTCCACATCGATTACGTTGTCATTATAATCTTCTTAAATTTTCTACAAAAATACGTATACTTTCTTTTTGTAGGCGACATAACACCGAATTTAAGTGGGAGTTCTACTGGCAATAGAAAAATGACCAGTGATAAGGTAGAACAAGAATCGTCTAGCGAGGGGACATTAAAAGTAGAATGCAATAATGAGACTTCCGGCGTGGATGCTGAATCCAATAAGAGGTTCGAATCAAATAAAGAAAAGAAATTGATTAAAAGTGATAATACATCTGACAAAGGAACAACAGGCAGCAATGCTGCAGAAGAAAATGCAAGTAAAAATCGTAGAATTACGAGTGCCGATGAAAAAAGAAGGAAAAAGAAGGTGTTAGAACCAAAGCTTCTCAAACATTATCCAAACGTTCCTGGTAAGAAAAGAAATATCTTTTGAAATTAATTTAGTTAGTTTTGTGACATAGTTTCGTTATTATTATTTTAATTAACATGCTTTTTAATATTAGGTATTGGACCTCGTCTTTCAGCTGAGGAGGTAGCTAGTGTTGCAATATGGATGAGTGAGTGTGCAAGAGTACAGGAAGGTATGGTTGGCCCGCGAAATCTTCGGCATATGAACTGCCCTCCTTTAGACAGACAACAAAGTTCAAGCTCATGATAGGGTTCATAATTTTTCAAGTTGTTTCACAAACTATGCAACAAATATATATTATCTGTAGAAACTGTTCGTATCATTGTATTCAATTATTTAAAATCTTTCGGACTTTCATTTGTCCTTTTATTTTATATTAACACAGCAATATACAGAATACTCAAATATAAAAGTTACGATACTGTTTACAAGATTAGCAGATTTACACGATATTATTATGATAACATTATTCTGAGCAGCGATGCAATTCACACATACAAATAGTTTTATTCCCTAACTGCACCTTTATAGACAAATCTCCATTTCCAAGAGATAAAGTATAGCTTTGTTTAGAAGAAATTATTTACATGACTTTGCAATGAAATTAAATACAAATGTTAAATTTAAAAAAATATTCAGTGAATTAACACCTCCCGTTTGACTACACCTAGAACATTTTAATAAGTACAAATTTGGTACAGAATAAGTCTTGAATATTTGTTCAACGAATAAATTGTCCTGCACGACATATTAATATGCATCGAGAAAAATAGTATTAAATTAAGTATTAAATATCATTGTACAAGATCAACCTCTTATTTAAAATTTACAATCACTAGTTGTCATTATATAATAAATTTATAGAAAAATTTGTCAGATCTATGCTTCCATTTCTTAAAAAAATCAGTACCTAGTCAATATCACAGGAACATTCCACTTAATTTTAAAATATCATGTTAAAAATCTATTATTTAAATTTTCTCACATCAAATCTTACAAAAAATATTGCTCTGTGGCAATTATTCATGCTTTTTACAGAAATAATTTATAAAAATGTCGGCAATATTTAATTGTATCAAGTGATGTCAATTTTTAAAAGCAGGATGGACACGCAGATTGAAATCGCATAGCGTGTAAATTTCACAAATATAAATTATTTGTAAAAATATTAACAAATTCGAAAGGAAACGTTGTGTATAATATTTTTTGTATAAAATTTGATGTTCAATTAATTTTTTGTAAGACACTGCACTGTTTCTTTTATCAAGAAAACTTAAACTAGAAGAGTAGGCAGTGCTCTTATTCTAAATAATCGTCGTATTTGATGATAAAACAAGTGATAAAAAGTTGTAACAAGTAATAAAGCAATAAGACATAGTAATAAATTTCTGGCTCTCGCACGATTGGCTCTCCACTCGAGAAGTTCGTGTCGATGGGAGAAGAGATTTCGATATTGCATAGGCAATTCGAATGTACTACGTAGAGGGTACAGTGAGCGATAAAAATCATTTAACAATGCCCGCACGATTTCATTTTCTGAACGACGTAGAGGATCCATGTCATCGTTTAAACATATAAATTTTCTGAAATTATTTGAATTATTTGAAATATTTTTGTCTAGAATTATAGTGAAGATTAATATGTAAACTTACTTCGGATCTCTACGAATTTCGTCCAATAGTTGCACAGTTAGAGACACATTACTGGTCAACATTTCAAATATTTCATTTTTTCCCGCCTTAATTATTTCATGCGGGTAACGTTTCTTTTCGCCAAATTTAACTTCAATTTTGTTTGCAACTGATGGACATTTAACTATCAATTCTTTAGATACAATTGGCTGCAAAGATAATTAAAAACACTCAATCATATTTGTGAGTCATTTAACATTTATGAAACATAACAAAATATATTTACAAGAGATGAATCTAAATATCTTTCTCCAGGCGGGGGATTTGATATTTCTGGGATGTCTGCAAGATTTGAACAATTTGTTATTATATTCTCAAATTCTACAACTAAGCTATAGTCAAGAGGTAGTGGATACATTCTGGACAAAAGTGTTCGAATTTCTCTGTCTGACCACGTCCTGAAAATGGTAGTAATAATATAATTAACTTAAAGTTAATTAAGAATACTATCTCATTAAACTACTACTGGTATTGAGGAAATACTCTACCCTGACTTGTCCGTGTCAAATGTATCAAATATTTCTTTAATTGGTACTTTACGTTTCTCACTCATTAAAAAATAAAAATACGAGAACGCGAATTGCATATCTTTCGAGTTTCTAACTTTGTGACTAGATGTTTTTTTGAATTCGTTTTCAAATTTTGTCTGCATATTAGCGACGATCCATTTATCTATCAAATGAGGCATATGGGCAGGTACTCTTTTACGCTCAAATCCATATGCCATATTGTATATCCTATTTACATACAACAAAGACTCGGCGTATGTGTCCAGTTGTCTAGTTCTGAGTTTCCACTGATCAGAATAATTAGGTTTATTAATCTTCCCCGTAATATTAGCTTGCGGTAAATTTAAATTATCATCGTTTAAATAACGTTTCAATTGCATACGTCTCTCGGTAAGATTCGAGTTTTGAGATTTCATCTTATTTATTATATTTGATAACATTGACTTTTCGGTAGACATAGTTTGGTCACTTTCATGCATGTTAGAAAACTTTTCAGTATTATTCATGTGTCTATTGACATTAAAATCATAAGACTTATTTATATTGAGCTTTGTGTGTATAGTGTTATTTGGCAACGTTTGTTGGATAAGTAGATCTGTACTGTTCCACAGAGAATTGCTTCTGCTTCTTAACATATTTAAAAATTTTAATCCATAATTAGCAGTATCTTGGGTATCCTGTAAAAACTTTTGTGGATAGTCCCCTTCTTCATCAAGAGCTTCACTATCTGTAGGAACTGGTGTACTATCACAATCTCCACCTAAATTAATAACTAAATTAAATCCAATATACTATTAAAGCATTCTTAAAAATAAGAAACAATAGATACCATCAAATTCACACAATGTTGTATTACACGCAGGATCGCATGACCCATCTCCTACCCAAGCCCAAGGACAAACATCTGAACAGTCAGGAATCCACCATGCAAGATACACTTTCTGGCCTCCTGCTTGAGTAATAAAATCTTCTGGCCACACTTCAGCTCCTAGCATTACATCATCATTGAAATATAAAAACTTATCTGAAATTCCAGGAATTCTGTAGGATTGAAAATTAATATATAAAATATTATTATTATTAGCTTATTATGAGCTGATACCTAGGATTATATCTTTGACATTACCTATGAATATGACTTTCAATAGCAGGACTAGAAAATGTTGGTAGATCACTTTTATTTAAAAAAATGTCTTCATGAGTAACAAGAGTAACTCTAGGATTATCCATATCCAACCAACTTGGTATTTGGCCATTGGTAACAATGTATACATGTCTAACCCATGGTGCATACATTTCCAATGAGCGTAAAGAATATCTTAATTCATCTTTATCACTAAACCTAGAAGCTGCAGTATTAACATCCAAAATAGGAACATGTTCTTTAAGATTCTTTAAGAAAATTGGATCAGAACCATTGACCCATGTATATACAACATCTATTGGAACATGTTGACATAATTTCCTTTGAAATGAAATACCTAATATATTATCGTTAAAAGAATGAAAGACTGCTTCATATTTTTCTTTACTCCAAGCTACCCAAATCTGAAAAAATTTAATATAAATTTAATAATTTTTAAACTGATATCAATTTAAATTCTCAGTTGCAATTTAAAATTAATTTCACAAATTTTATTAATTTCAGAAGGATAAGTTCATAAACCCAATGTAATGGTATTTAATGAGAAAACAGTTCTCTAAAATCAGCAAATACTTTGATATCAAAACAGAAACGCAATATTATGGGTTTTCTAACCTCTCCGAAATGAATAATGCCGATAAAAATACAAGTAAATGCCATCAATATCACCAGCAACGAATATTTGTACGAGAGTAGATCGTAACATCGACGCTGTAACAATTTCCATGTGCTCATTATATTGATGCAAATTCTATATGCGATTGGCATCGCTAAACACCGCCGTACGAATCCATGTACCACTGTTTACACTTGTGGTTGATTCCGACTGATTTTGATCATTGTAATCTAATTATACCGCTACAAAGACCGGAATAAAAATACTGAACATTTAATTAAATATATGCAAAAGATAATGATGTTTAAGAATTATTAGGAAATTAATACACAGGAAATCGGCGTAGGAACGGTTGACATAACATTTTTAATGAAGTACTATGTAAACTTACTATATATATATACTTACTATATATATGTATATATGTATATACTTGCAACTGCTGATTTATTTAATCGTTAATCAGAATTTATAAAAAAAAACATTTTTCACGTTATTCAATGAAATTTGTTTATTTATTTATTATTATACTCTTTTTTGTAACGCAATCAATGATACATTGAGAGACTAATTAAGTAGTTCCTTCCTCGAAGTTAGTTTACAAAAAATTACAGAATGTCATGTTTCTATATTTTATAAAAATAGGATACACCTTTCACACAATATATTTTTTAATCCTTAACATATTAATTTGCTATTCTAAGTGGTATTATTCCGTTTGGTCTAATAAGCATCATGTGCCTTTATACAAATTGAGCCATTTAAAAAATCTTCACCCGTTAAATAAATATCTTTTTTGTTTGACAATAATCAACAGTATTCGTAAATAACAGTTCGCAGTTTACAGTTAATTCAGTATGCGAGGTAGAGCCGGGTCCCGTATCCGCGTATCTTAATTCTGCGTAAGTATAGTTAAATCTTTTAATAAACTTTGCTTCCAAGAGGCGGTTTCTTCCACTGAGCGTATATTGCAGATCTTTTTGCAAATATCAATTTTCAATAATACATACATAAAGATTAGAATCAGAAAAAGTTCATCTTGTATAAAATATCGAAACTTCACTAATTCTTGATAATTTAATTATTTTATTGTATTTCATATTCCGTATGTACCATAAATGCTTAAAGACCCACAGTGTAATTTCCTGTTTGCAAAACAGTACAGGGAAATTCTTAAGATCTCTCTATACGTTGAGACATGCGGCGGCACGACATCGCTAAAACGATGGGTTTCAGTCTTTTTCATTTTTTGTTTGAATACAATATATGTATATCATGAAACTTCAGAAGACTCAAATCCATCGTTTGGCTCAACGTGTACTGTTCGCCCCTTCCAAGCATACTAGGGACCATAGATTTAAAAGTGCACAGGGGCAATGTTCGTACATTTCACTTATCGTATCTCGTTTCGCTTGTGTTCTTTGTTGCGCGACTCGGCCAATAAGAAGGCCATGTCAAAACTGAGCCGCCATAACAACCGGGCCAAGCGCTGTGAATGAACGTCTCCCCGTACCCCTGTGCACGTTTAGCTTGGTTGTCGCTACTATGCTCAAAAGAAGCGATCAGTACATAGGACATAGACCTTTAGATATAAAATTATTCTGATATCTGTCAGCACTTATCAATCGAAATTAATTTCCTGTTGCACAATTATTTATAGTGTGAAGAGACATTTTACACATTTAAATGCTTACGTGCATCGATAGTTTAGTTTGAATCACTGTACCACTGTATAATCCAATATTAATTTAGTCGATAACTGTTTGCAATGCAATATATTTTTTTTTCTGGCGATTACTACAACTAATTTTACAAAAATAAAATACAATATTTGTCATAATATTTTCTCTTTTGTCATTACAAAATATATGGTCTAAATAATAGAATTTTTCGAAATACTCATTTTGTATTATTAATAAATTTTCTGAAAATATTGGTACCTAATTCTTTTAATTCTTGAATTCATTTAATTATCAGTATTTTGATTATGATTTTGTGTTTTCATAATTTTACCAAGATTCGCATATTTAACATCTGTGTGTCTGTTAGAATTTCATTTTTTCCTGCTACGTTCTAATCAATTAAATGAACTTAAATAATTTAACACTGCAAGAACTATTTTCATAGGACAAACCTGATTTTAAAAACTATCGACAGTGCATAAAGCGAACAATATTTCATAGGAAATGGTTTTCTAACATCATCATAAAATGCGATAGTTTTTATAAACTATGAAATCAATCACTTTGAATGCAATTAAAATCAGGATTTTAATTAGCATATATTTTAAACAACTCGATATAACTGAATACAATTGAGAGTATTAGAACCCTTACAGATTTTGGAAGTACACGATAGATATTCTGCAATAGATAGCTTTGTCATTTTGAATGTGACAAGCAATAAGTGAAAAACTCAACGATACTTCACAGTATTTGAAGTTACGAAATATGTAAGAAATCTTTTTAGGCGGTTTGTTTTAAAGAGAGACATTTTGCCTCGTGATAATCAGAATATTTCAAAGTATTCTTTTAAAAGTATAGTTCTTAAAGCATAGTTTCGCACTTTAACATCGCAAATGAATTATTAACTAAGTCGACCACACTCAATATGGTACTATACATTACAGTATATACATAAAAAAATAAGTTATGAGAGGTTGCAAGTATGATAGCAAAATGAAACAGCGAATCCAAATATTTCAAAGAATTTTGTGGTCAATGACTGAAACGTAATATTATCACCAATAAGAAGAGTATACTAGACACTTGGGTAAGACGATGTATAAAGTACAATCTGAAATAAAAAAATTACGTGTTATTAATTAATAAAGTCACAAATATTTACCGAATTTAAAGTCAATTAAAATATATGAAAATGGAATGGGTAAATATTAATTATTACTTATTATTAGCGTGATATCGATTTATAATACAGCTTAATAATTATATAAATTACAAAAATGTTACTATACGTACAACGACACACGACTTTGGAATTTACTGAAGCAAGTATCGTGCATAATATACTTTCTAATTCCCAGAATATAATCGCGCACATATGTATCCCAATTATGGTTACACCTATCGATGTCAAAATTATTGGAATCCTTGAGTGCTTTCGCTTTTTTCGATAGATCGTCCATATTATCTCGTTGAAACTTCCATTCGTTCATTACAAAGAATGTTCCGTTTCGCATGGTTCGACTCATTCGCTTAGCAGTTTTGAACATTCTGAAATAAGATTTTCGGTCGTTCCAGTTGTTTTCATTTACCCATTTGTTTTGTTCGCTATCAGATCGAGAAGCTAAATTTTTAATTTTTTGAAATTCTTAAT